ACTTAAACTAGGAAAAAAAAACAAAGAAGCTATCATGTATAAAACACAAGACAAACTTCAACATAAATGCCCATAAAGATAGTATTTAACTACCATGAAAAATAACATCTCAGAATGAACATTCACTATTCCCTGATGGATGAAAGCCAAGCTCATCATTCTGGGAGTGAACAGAATAAACCAGGTCCAGTTTATGGCTGGAGTGAAAAAAACAAACATATTTAAATAAAAAAAAAAAACCTGTAAATGTATAAACTACCTTCTGCAAACTGTACAGACATCTGTCACCAATAAACTTTAACTTTTTGATCTAGTGGTATTTTTATTTTTTATTATTTTGTTCTCCCAGGGAAATATCAGCTAGTGTAGATATATACTGTAGGTAGAGCCAATGAGAATCATATTAAATCGGTTTTGATATGTGACAGCTCAATGCGTATTTCTTTGCATATTTAAATGTTTCATTCTGACCCACCAAAGCCACATGTAGAGTTGCTGTTTCCTCTAACATCTGTTTTCACTGGAGTAAACTCTTCTTTGGTTCAACTGAAAAGAACAAATTAAAGAAAAACAAAAAAAATCTTTTATTTTATATACCTTTGACTGTCTAGTCTGTATTAATTAAATGGTTGATTTCTCCAAAAGTCTTAGGAATTTTTGCATCTTTTAAAAGATGCATTAGACATAAACTCGATGAATCAATTGCAAATATTTGATCATAAAAACTGCAAGGGTGGGGTAAGTTCTTTTGTCATATCCACTGTCTAAGTACTAATACATGTGGTGACTTTTTATACACACCCTATTGTGTAATATGGAGGGTGCATGAATAACATCTGAAAGCAGATAAGAAGTTTAAAATAAAAATGTCAAAAAAAGTCAATTGCCGTGTTTGTCAGCTTCTTAGCAACTGAGATTAGTTATATATCATAAAGTATGTCAAGCCAAAACCTTTTTTTCTAGTTTTGGCTGGTGAAAGGATTAGAATTTCTGATGGGTTTTTATTGCTCTCTGTGATATTAGTTATTTATTCACTGTTGAGCTCGCTTTTCAGAGATCTTTTGTTCTTTATATTTTTATTGAATATTGTATTTTTAGTCACAGTGGTTATTGAGCTAGCTCTTTAGAGTGTTGGTTCACCCTTCTGAGGAGTTATACTGTTTACTAATGAGCTCACTCTTCAGAGTGTCATTTCACTTTTCTGAGTTTTTTTCCCCACTTTAGTTTCTTTATATAGCGCTGCACTTAATCAAATTTTTGTGAATTGTAGTGTATCCTATATCTTGCTGCTGGCTGCTGTAACCACTTGCCAACTGCACTATAGCCAAAAGACGATTTGTAAAACCAACAGATAAACAGCAATAAAGCAAAATTCTTCTATAAAAAAAGTTAATTAAACTCTAGTCATATGCTCCTGGCTCATTTCCTAAAATGTTATCAAAGAATAGTAACAACACTGGGTATGTACAAACATGATGTAAAGATATACGATTCTGGATAACCATAATTAGAACAGATACAGATACATTTTTTATTTTGAACACGCTATTGCAACAGAAGAGCATTCACATAACCAAATAAGCATAAACATACAGTGGTTTGCCTTGGTAGGTCAAAAAAAAGCCCAGGAAGGCTAGATGTAGTAATTGGGGTTGGGAGACTCCAACCACTCCCCAATCTCTGGGTGCTGTTTCAGAACGCAATAGTGCGTATTGTCACTCCAAGGCCGTGAAACTACTTCTTTGTCCTTATGTATATGCCTTCCATAACTCCACTCAAAGTAAACTCATTTGTGATAAATGAACTTCTATCCAATGTCTGGTGATGCTTGGGTACTCTCAAGTGTCTCCAAATAGCACACACATATTTGACAGTTCTACTTCAATAGCCTTGAATACAGTCTCAGAAACATACTGGAAGTCCAGACCATATAATTCCCACACATGGCGCACCGAATACATGCATAACCAAGACAAATGGGTTAATCACTGCCCACATCCTTGGCACGGAGGCAAGTAAAAATCAGGATGAACAGTGTTGCATGAGAGCGCAATTGTCATTCAAAGTGTGACAGCGCTGAAAGATGAAAATTAGCCTGGGCAGGAAGGGGGTTAAAGTGGCCAGTAGGCAAGTGGGTAATTGAGGAGGAGAGGGATGTCTGGGGGGGTCTGAGGAGGAGAGGGGGGATCTAAGGAGTAAAGATGGGAGGTCTGGGGGTTTTGAAGAGGGGAGGGGGAGTTTGGGGGAGTCTGAGGAGGAGGAGAGAGAGGAAGTCTGGGGGTCTGAGTAGGAAAGGTGGGCCTGAGGAAGAGATACAGAGGTCTGGAAGGGGTCTGAGGATGAAGGGGGTCTGAGGAGTAGAGAGGGGAGGTTTGGGTGGTCTGAAGAGAGGAGGGGGTCTGGGGGGGTCTGAGGAGGAGAGGGAAGTCTGGGGGACAGCGAAGGAGATGAAGGTCTGAGGAGGGGAGGTGGGGTCTTAGGAGTGAGAGGGGGAAGTCTGGGTGGTCTAAGGAAAAGAGGGAGGTCTGGGGGGGTCTGGGAAGGAGAGGGAGTTCTAACAGGGGTTTGAAAAAGAGAGGGTCTGAGGGGAAGAGGATTTGGGGGGTTCTGAGGAGAAGACGGGGGTCTGGTCTGAGAAAGTGAGGAGGGTCTGGGGGGGGTCTAAGGAGGAGAGGAAGGTCTGTGGGCTCTGAGGAGGAGAGGGGGATTGGGGGGGTCTGAGGAGTAGATAGAGGAGATCTTGGGTCGTCTAAGGAAAAGTAGAAGGTCTTGGGGATTTGAGGAGGAGAGGGGGGGTCTGAAGAGAGAAGAGGGGGGGTCCGGGGGGTTTGAGGAGGAGAGGGAAGGGTCTGGGGGGGTCTTAAGAGGAGAGGGAGGTCTGGGGGGGCATGATGAGAAAGGGGGGGGGGGTCTGAGGAGGAGAGGAAGGTCAGTTCTGAGGAGGAGAGGAGCGCTTGGGGGGTCTGAGGAGAGGGGGATAGGGGAGATCTCGGGGGGGGGGGGCTGAGGAGGAGAGGAAGGTCTGAAGAATAGAGAAAGAAGGTCTGGGGGTTCTAAAGAGGAGATGGTGGTCTGAAAAGGAGAGGAAGGTCTGAGGGGACCCTCCGAGGAGAGAGAGGTCTGCGAGGACCTGAGGAGGACAGGAAGGTCTGGGGGCTCTGAGGAGAAGACAGGGGTCTGGTCTGAGAAAGTGAGGAAGGTCTGAGGGGCTTGAGGAGGAGAGGGTGGTGGAGGGCCTGAGGAGGAGAGGGGGGTCTGAGGAGGAAAGGAAGGCCTGAAGGCTCTAAGGAGGAGAGGGGTCTGAGGAATAGAGAGGGGGGGTCTGAGGAATAGAGGGATGTCTGCAGGGAACTGAGGAGGAAAGTCTGGGGGCTCTGAGGATAAGAAGGGGTCTGGTCTGAAAAAGGAGAGGTGGGGTCTGAGAAGGTGAGGAAGGTCTAAGGGGCTTGAGGATGAGAAGGGGGGTGGGGGGGAGTAAGGGATGGTCTAGGAAGTCTGAGGAGAAGAGGGGATCTCTGGGAGGTCTGAGGCATAGAGGGGAGTCTGAGGAGTAGAGAGGAGAGGTCTGGGGGGGGGGTTCTGAGAAGGAGAGGAAGGTCTAGGGGATCTGAGGAGGAGAGGGGGGTCTGAGGAGTAAAGAGGAGAGGTCTGAATGCTCTGAGGAGCAAAGGGGCTTGAGGAGGAGAGGGGGTGGGGAGGAGAGATGGGAGGTCTGGGGGGGGGGGGGTTCTGAGGAGAAGAGGGGAGGTCTGAGTTGGAAAGGGAGGTTGGAGGAACAGACAAGGAAGGTCTGGGGTTCTGAAGAGGAAAGGATGGTCGGAGGAGTAGAGAAGGAAGGTCTGGGGGGTCTGAGCTGGAGAGGATGGTCTGGGGGCTCTGGGGATAAGAAGGGGTCTGGTCTGAGAAGGAAAGGAGGGTTCTGAGAAGGTGAGGAAGGTCTGAGGGGCTTCAAGAGGAGAAGGAGGGCATGGAGGAGAGATGGAAGGTCTTGGGGTTCTGAGGAGAAGTGAGGTCTGGGGGGTCTAAGGAGTAGAAGGGGGAATGAGGAGGAGAGGGGAGGTCTGGGGTGTCTGAGGAGAAGAGGGAAGATGTGGGGGGGGACTGAAGAGTAGAGAGGGGGTCTGAGGAGGAGAAGGGGGCTCTAAGGAGGGGGGGGGGGGGTCTGAGGAGTTAAGAGGAGAGTTCTTGGGAACCTGAGGACAGGAAGATCTGGGGGCCCTGAGGAAGAAAGGGAGGTCTGGAGGAGGGGGTCTGAGGTGTAGTGGAAAGTCTGGGAGCTCTGAGGAGAGGGGTGGTCTGAGGAGTAGAAAAACAAAAGTCTGAGGGGACTTGAGGAGAAGAGGAGGGGGGCCTGAGGAGGAGAGGAAGGTCTGGGGACTCTGAGGAGAAAAGGGGAGGTCAGGTCTGAGGAGAAGAGGGAGGTCTGGGGGGCTCTGAGGAGGAGAGGAAGGTCTGGAGGGCTCTGAGGAGAGGGGGGGTCTGAGGGGGCAAGGAAGATCTGTGTGCTCTTGGGAGAAAAAAAGAGGGGGGTCTGAGGAGGGAGAGAGAGGAGTCCTGGGGGGGGGGGGGGTCTGAGGAGGAGAGGGGGGCTCTGAAGGTGAAAGGGGGTCTGAGGAGGGGAGGGGGGTCTGAAGATAAAGAGGGGAGGTTGGGGGACCTGAGGAGGAGAGGAAGATCTAAGGAGGAAAGGAAGGTCTGAGGAGTAGAGATGGGAGGTCCAGGGGGTCTGAGGAGGATAGCAAGGTCTGGGGGCTCTGAGATGGAGAAGAGGGACATGAACCAGTGAAATTTTTTTTTCAAAAAGTACTGGGGCAGTCATTTTTATTGCTTAACCGCCTCCCATCCGCCATATGAGGAAATGACAAGTGTAAGGAAGTTCTCTCATTCTGGAAAGATGTCATATGACGACCTCCTACTCCAACCATGTGTGCGTGCCCCCTGGGGGCTGCAGCGTGGCAACTGGTGATCCGCTGTGACCCTGGGACACAGTGGATCACCGATCAACGGAAAGAGCCAATGACGTCGGTTCTGTCATGAGATCAGCTGTGTCCAATCACAGCTCATCGCATGTAAATAAGGAAATGCCGGTTATCGTCATTCCTCTCCTTGTGAGCTGTCATGCTGACAGCTTAGAGAGGAGAGGAGAGCCAGTAATCGGCATTACTCAGAGGGGACATGTACACTGATCATCAGGGCACAGTTGATCAGAGTGCCCTGATGATCAGTGTAGCCCCATCAGTGCCACCTGTCAGTGTCCATCAATGCCGCCTGTCAGTCCCCATCAATGCCACCTGCCAGTGCCCATCAGTGCCACATAAATTTCACATATTAGTGCCTAACAGTGCACATCAATGCCACATATCAGTGCCCATCTGAGCTGCCTTTCAGTGCCACCTATCAGTGCCAGTCAGTGCCACCTATCAGTGCCAGTCAGTGTCGCCTATCAGTGCCAGTCAATGTTGCATGACCGCACAATTGTCATTCAAAGTGTGACAGCACTAAAAGCTGAAAATTGGCATGGGCATAAGTGCCCTGTAGACAAGTGGTTAAAGTAAAATAAAAAAAATTAAAATTCCTTTAAATATCATGCCTGGGGGGTCCTCTTAAACTACCTGCAAAACTGCACATCTGTACAACCTGCTTCAGCAGGACTGCCATTTTTTTTTAAAATGACATTTTTATTAAAAAACAAAAAAAAAAACAACATCCCGATGTCCCCTCTATCAGACCCTTTAGGCCTGGTAGGAAGGTTAGGAGGGAGTAACTGGTAAATGCGTGGTCATGCAATGCTTTACCCAAATTAAATTTATGTCCTTTTTTTCACACAAATAGAGCTTTCTTTTGGTGGTATTTGATCACCTGTGCAGTTTTAACTTTTTGCGCTATAAACAAAAAAAGACTGAAAATTTGGAAAAATAAACAATGTTTTTCACTTTTGGTTATAACAATTATCCAATAATCTCAAAGTTAGTCATAAATGTAGGCCACAATGTATTCTTCTAAATGTCTTTGATAAAAAAAAAATCCCAATACATGTATATTAATTGGTTTGTGTGAAAGTTAGAGCGTCTACAAACTATGGTATATACTGTACAGTATATTGGCATTTCCACAGCTTTTACTTTCTGACTGAATATCACATTTCTTGAAGTGCTAAAATGCCAGGGCAGTACAACCCCTCCCAAATGACCCCTTTTTGGAAAGTAGACACCCCAAGGATTTTGCAGAGAGGCATGTTGAGTCCATGGAACATTTTATTTTTTGCCACAAATTTTTTTAAAATGACAAATGTTTCTTTTTACACAAAGTTGTCACTTAAATGATATATTGCTCATGCATGCCATGGATATATGTGGAATAACACCCCAAAACTCATTCTTCTACTTCTTCCGAGTATGGGGAGACCACATGTGAGAGACTTTTTGACAGCCTAGCTACATACAGGCCCCCAAAATCTAATGACCACCTTCAGACTTTCAAACGGCATATTTCCTTATATCACTTCCCCCCTACCTATCACAGTTTCGGAGGCTCTAAAATGCCAGGATAGTACAAACATCCCCCCAAATGACCCCTTTTTGGAAAGTAGAAACCCAAGGAATTTGAAAAGAGGCATGGTGATTATTTTATAGATAACATTTTTGTCACAGAGTTTTGAAAATGGAAAAAAAGGATAGAAAAAATAATTTTTTGTTTTCTTTCTTGATTTTTTCCGAAAACATGTGGCAACAAATTAGATCTGCAAAATACTCACCATGCCTCTTAGCAAATACCTTGGAGTGTCTGCTTTCAAAAAAGGGGTCATTTGGAGGGTTGCTTCTACTATCCTGGCATTTCAGGGCCAACATTAGAAGAATTAGAATACATCACCCACTCTTGAAGCCTTTTCTGACACTTTTTGTTCACATGAAAAAACAGTATTTTTTTGCTAGAAATTTACTTTGAACCCCCCCAAATTATATATTTTTTAAAAGCAGAGGCCCTAGAGAATAAAACAGTGGGTACTGTTTTATGTCACACTGTATTTGAGCAGCACTTTTTAAAATGCAAATCTTTTGGGAAAAATACACTTTTTAGAATTTTAATGCACAAAAACACAATATATTGTCCAATTGTTTGATAAGATATAAAAGATGATGTTACACCAAGTAGATGGATACCAAACATGACATGCTTTAAAATTGCGCATGCCCGTGCAATGATGACAAAGTACATACATTTTTAATATTGATAGGCGATGCTTTAAAAGCCTTTATAGGTCTCAAATTTATATTTACACATGAGGACTAGTGCTATAATTACTGCCCTTGATCTGATGTTCATGGTGATACCTGCATGCATGGTGCAATCTCTGTTTACATACCGACACGGGACCAACGGTTGTGTTTGCCTTTGTGCACGAGCACGGGAAGGGGAGATTGTCAGGGGTGATTTTTTTTCTTTTTTTTTAATTTTGATTTTTTTTTTTTTACACTGTCTCTTTTTTTTTTTATTAATCACATTTATTGTTATCACAGGGAATGTAAATATCCCTTGTGATAGCAATAGGCAGTGACAGGTATTCTTTTCTGAGAAATCTGGGGTTTATTAGACTTCCCAATTTAAAAACGGTGCTGTTAAAGTCCTGCCAAACATATTTAATGACATGCTCGTAGCTTACGGTCTCTTAGACCATAGAGATGATTGGAGCCATTCTGGTCAGCTCTATGGTCAACTGGCTGCATTCTCAGATTCCCCAGTGGGACAGGAGAGCCCAAGAAAACTGTCGGAGGTAGCAGGAGGTGGGGGGGATGTCCCTTCCTGCTGCTTATAAAAAACAATTCGGCAGCTAATTGGCCACTAGGATTGCTTTTACATGAAAGCTGACCGCTAGCTGGAAAAAATTATACAATAGTGATGCCTGCAGGTTATCCCAGTATAACCACTCGAAGTCCAGTGACGTATCAGTACATTTCTGGTCCATGTTGTGCATATATGTAACAGCAGAGAACATGGGAATATGATGAATCGGATCTGTGTACCAATACGACTGCAATTCATCCTTTTTTGTAATGCCCATGTTCAGGGTTAGGCCCAAAAAAGTTTTAAATTCAGAAACTGTAATAGGTTTCCATACGAATTGTCTGGCAACAGCTGCATTTGGGTGGCAATGTATTGTTGTGCATATAATTTGCTTTGGCCCACAAGCAATTGGTGCATATCTTCCATGAAAAACAGCGAAGGGGCTAAACGCTAGTGCTAGCAGCGAATGGGGTTGATCCTGCTAACACTGCGTTTTTGGGGACACTATACAAAAGCAGGTACTAGTGATCTAGTACACCTAGATGACTAGTGTTCGTGATCATTATATTGATCTGCACAAACACTATACTAGTAATGGCGGTGATCAGCCACCTATAATGTGAGTGTGATAGTGTGCGGGCAATCTAGCTGACCCTGGCTGGGAGGGGCGCTTACTGACCCTAATGCTATCTGATGTCGATAGTGGCAGGAATACAGTGATCAGTGAAAAATTCTATATACTGACACTGTACTAATGGCACTGGCTGGGTGATGGGGCAATCAAAGGGGTAAATCTAACATGTGGGTGTAAAATGTAATGCTTTTACTTGGGGCGGTGTTCTTTTTTCTCTCTCTGGACCGACCAGGGGGCATAGGCGCATTCACACCCTGAAATAGCCACTGCAGGTAAGCGGTCGGCAAGTAGTTAAAAAAAAAAAACGTACATTTGTATTTTTAATTCTCAATACGGTATTTTTTTTTCAAATTTTTTAATAATGTTTTCTTTAAATACTTTTAGCAGAATAGTACAATGTTACCATTATTTATGTATTTATTTATTTATTACCATAGTAATGTGGGGGGGGGGGGGGTTGATCAGGGATTTTTTGGGGGGTTTGTTTATACTTTGCTTTGCAGGAGAAATAAAGATCATTTCCCCTGCTATGCAAAGCTTGCTGTCATGAACCCCTAACTCATTCATGAATGAGTTAGGTTTTTGATAGCTCAAGATAGTGATCAGTGATTGGCTGGAGCTGGTCACATGGTACAGGGTGATGTGATTGGCCCCATGTATCATGTGACAGCTGTGGGCCAATCACAGCTCACTAGGAAGAGAAGCACAGCTGTTATGAATCCGATTGATTCTTAGCAGCTTTGCTAACATTCTGATCATGTGATCACGTAGCGATCACATGATCACCGAGTCTCATTCACCAGGATCTCCATTCCGCTGTGTTAGTACAGCCAGAGCAACATACCCCTACGTTACTTTGCCTGTAGCTGTCACCTATCCACAATACATTGCGAGCAGGTGGTCGGGAAGTGGTTAAAAAAAAAGCCAAAAAATTGTTCCATCGTCAATCACTGCATCCAGCATTGTTACAATGATGCGGACTCGCCGAAATAAAAAGCAAACCGACACCCACAGACCGCCCTGCACCTGTGGAGCACTCACTGCTATCTGACTACTTGCTGGTCAGATGTAAACAATTGGGTGGAGCTAGCAGTAATGTCACGGCTAGCTCTGCCCAATTGTGCTGTGATTGGCCAAAGCATTGCACCTGACTACTTTTATTTTTACTCAGGTTTCCCCCTTTCCTTGCCCTGCAGCCAGGCACCAAGTATTTTCCACAACCAGGTACACACACTTTTTTGTTTTTGTCTTCAATGACAAATCTAGGGGATGTTTGTTTTTGGAGTTTTATTGTAGTACTGGGGATAGGGAATTCAGTAGAATACTCCAAAATTCAAACTATTTACATGGAGGACATCTGATGAGCACTTTTGAAGCACATTTGAAGTCCTGGCTGAAAGCAGATAGCGGACTTCTCTTTAAACTGTAGCAGCAAGTAGTTTAGGAGTGAGAAAATCAATTTTTGCAGTAGTAGTAGTTACAGGGCTGAGCTCCTCAAGTATAAGCCAGTTATGACAGACTGAAACAACCCAAAGGTCCTTAATCTCTGTACTCACAAGGCCCAAGGACAGAATGGTAGCCCCCTTCCAATCTTCCCAGCGAAAACCTCCAGTGGTACCAGTGGTACCAGACAGAGCTTTGGCAGACAATTCTCTTAGTCAGCCTACTGTAGAACCAGGGTCACTCTCTCTAACTTCTCGTCCTGTATCAGTGGTCTCACTGGAAGGAAAAATTGTCCTTGTGTTAGTGGTGTCACTAGATAGAAAAATGTCCTTGTGTCAGTGGTGTCACTGAAAAATAAACATTTCTGTGTCTGCTGTATAGCTAAGAGCAACATTGGTGCTGCATCAGTGTCAGTGGGGAAAATGCTGGGCTCTGAGGGTACATAGAATTAAAGGGATCTTGGGGGCTTTGAGTGAGGAAGGGGTGCTGAAAAAGCTGTAAGAGCTCATGTATGGCTATTATTGGTGCCCCCTATGAAAAGCGATCCATGGCAGATCAATTTTAAGAGGGCATTTGATAGGCAGCAAGAAAGTGAAATATCACCTTCACACTGCCTGCATGCAGTTGCAAAATGACCCCATTC